TATATCTAGAAGGATCACGAGATTTAAGGAAAAGACGTGAATGTTCGAGAATGACGTGGCGGGATACGTGACCTCGATGTCGTAATAATATACATAACTTTGCAATTTTGTAACTTTACAGCAAAAATATTTTTGGTAGTGTCCTCGTGTTCTTCGTTCCAACAAATGAGTTGGGAGAAAAATTTAATTAGTTATATATTGTATTGTAAAAGTAAATCGAAATTAATTTAAGTATTTTTCAGAAATTAGTTGACTCAAAAAGTCCAAATATCAGGCAATGATGACAGCTACGATCTAAAAAATACTCAGGTAGTAATCAGCTTCACTCTTTCCATGTCTAAAACCAAACTGGCTTGAAACAAAAGTTCATGACGCTCTAGATCCAAAGTAGAACAAATGCTCATTAGATTTAGGAGAGCTATCACAAGGCATAATATTAGGGAAGTTGAGATTTCAATATTTCATGATGATGGTCAAGAAAAAGTGATCCGGCTTTCATTTAGCAGCTGTTACAGAAAATATTTGGCAATGTTACCAAAATGATTTAGGATACATTAAATAACCCCGTCATAACCAGATAGAAAACCCCCGTGAGTCAAAGCGTTCTAAATTTAAACTAATGGATGATTGTTTTGACTGTTATTAAACACAAAGCTACACAATGAGCTAGTTGTGCTTTGCCGACCATGGGTATCGAAACCCAATTTTTAGCATCATAAGCCTACAGAAGTACAAATGAACTACTGGGTAGTCCTATGGAAAACTAAAATCATAAAGCACGATGTTTAATGACAACGCATAAGCACATTTTTTTATATTGTATAAAATAAGTGTGGTCTTTTAATTTTACCACAAACGAAAAAACCAAATTATCTTTACAGAAAATAAATATCCTAATTTCCAGTAGTGTAAACACTTTAAACTTTTCTTTTATATACATAATGTATGTTTTAATTTTTTTGTGGATGTCTTTTTCAATTCACACTTTCATGCGAATAACAACAATGTATTTGTAATATATATATATTACATCTAACTAAATTTAGCGAGTACATGGTTACACACATACATACATGTATATTGATTTCCATGGTTGTAATTTGCAAGCATATCATGGTTTTCGGTACGATCATATTTAATTGCGCGACCGAAGTTTGTTTGATTAGCCCCCCAGTGTGGACATGGGTCTCTGTATTTTGATTATCTATTCACGTTATGACGTCATCTGATAGGTAAGGTAGTATACATGCGTTAGATATCTTCACACAAGAATAATACTAATAGAATGTGGTGTGAGTGAAAAGTAAGCCTAGATTAAACTTATCGTGAAAGTAATTTTGGTGGAATTCTCGTGTTAACATCGCCAAAAAATTATAAATAATTCTTACTGTTATGTATATAGATATTAAGTGGTATATTAAAAAAGAGCACATACTGTATTTTAGTTTTATTTGATTTTTTGTTGTATCTGAAAATGTTCGAAAATGGATAAACATGGTTTATCACTAGGATTTAGACTAGTTGGCGTCATGGGCATGGTAGCGGTACTAAAGAAGTTAAATTTAAAAAGTTTTAGTTAAGTAGGACTAGAATCAGGATTGTGACATGTATACACTGCTATCTTTGGTCAATGAATTTAATAATTTTACTGATTTATAATTCGTTCTGAAATCTGTTTCATTGGGTTGTAATTATAACTTGTATTTAAATAATACTGATTAAATGATTTACTTTAAAGTTACATCGAATTTCACTCCTCCCTCCTCCCGTTTTTTTTTGTTTTTTTTGTCATTGTCCCAAGCCTTACTCGGCAAACTGTAGTAGCATCGTAGTTTATTGTATTGTTTTCAGGACTTATGCAAAAGAAAGAAAAAGTAGGTACTAAGCCTACAGTCCTCAGAGTAAATCTTTGAAGTGGTGTGAAAAATATTTTTACTATTTTTTAGCACTAATGTTGTAAATATAATGCCATTGTACATAAGGTGCAATAACTTGTATATTCATTTGAAGAAAGGAAAACTAGAAAATGCAGAATGTGCTGTTAATTTGAAACCCATTTTTCAGGAATTAATTAGAACTATGAAAAGCATTTGCTGTGAAGTGGAATGTTTTTGATGATATATGTGCATGATTTTTCTCTATTTTTCAAAACTATAATTCCAAGGATCAGAATTATTAAACATTTGAACTATTTTGTTCAGATCTACATATGTTTACCATATATTTGTGTATCACAGTGTCGCACACTTAAAATAAGTAAAATCTTCTGTGAATGTGTGACCATGGTTCACATAATATGTGGATAACGAGGACTGTTTGGTCTTTCTAGACAGTCTATTCATCTTCCTCAAAGAAAATAATTAAACTCACTTTTAATATTTGAGGAAACTTAATTCTCTTTTAAACGTACATGTGTACAATCGCTGATGACAGTTCATTCCCTAAGTTAATCACCTAGTCAGAAATTACTTATTATTGTAAATTGAAGCTTGTTTATTACAAGCTATTGATATAATAGAATTGGATGTATCATTTAAAATTATAATATGATCCATGCACACTTAACAAAAGATAAACAACAACTAGAGATGATTTGAACACTAGAATGAATTCCTAATGTCTAAAAATAAAACTTGCTGTGTAGTCATGATGTTTGAAAACTATTAATCCACAATAGGTCTTGTTAAATTCTGTATCAATGAATTATGAATTTAGAATAAATTTAAAAATTTGTTTTGAAACAAAGGCTCTCATAAAGTTAGTTGCTAAACTTTTATACAGGATGGAGCAAAAAAAAACTTAATTGTAAGTACTCTTAAAAAAATATGAAGCATTTTATGAATAGGCTTTTTTCAGGAACAATATATTTGTTAAAAGAAACTTGTGGAATCACCTGAATTCTGAATAATTTAGAAAAAGCATTGAAGAAGTCAGTATTTAATTTATGATTCTTAACATGCTTTTTAAAATGGCTCACTTGCTGAACAAATTTGTTAGAATTTTTTTCATAAGAATTCTACCCTTTTAAATGAGGTCATCCCAAATGATATTATCTTGACTCTAAGAAATGCTTTACTGAAATGATTCTTGGATGCTTATAGAATTAGTAAAAAAAAACTGAAAAATAATAAATGATTTTAGGAATGAAGGAGTTGATAAGAATTTTCTAACTGGATGAATTTGTTTTTGTATTTATGATAAGTACTTGGATAGCTTCTTGGACAGTACTGCTTTTGAATTTAAAGATTATACTACAATGTTGGTAAGAGCCATTTTTTATTGAAAATGCTTCTCTTATTCAAAAAGACCTTGATAGTCACAGTGACTGGACCTGAATATGTAAAATAAGATTTTATATTGAGAAATGTAAAGTTACACTTGGGTTGTAGAAATTTATAATATGTTTGAGAGAAACATGGTGTTGTGTGAAAAGAGAAGTATTTGTGTATGATTGATGAGAAAATCCAAATTTACTTGCTAACACGTGATCTTGTTGAAGATTACAAGGTTATAAAAGAAAAAAAGATTTAATATCAACAAGAGGTCGAGACTGTCTCATTCAATAAACCCAACTAAAGAAAACACTCAAATAAAATATTAACATCCTCAAAGTTAGCCCTTATAATTTAATGCTATGGAGAAATTCATGCTTCGCATACAAAATGTTCGTGTGGTTGTGATATTTTACATTTGAATGTATCAATTTTATAAAATTTATAGGAAGTATTATGTATTTAAAGTAATTAAAACAATTAAATGACCTGTCTAGACTACTCATATTAGATTAGGCACTCCTAGTTCTGAATGAATGTGTGGTGTCTTGGTGACTGTGAGGGTAAACCTGTTTCACAACATGATACCCACCAAACGTCTCTAGTACAAAATACTTGAACCCAAATGCTCTGATCAGAAATGACAAACCAATTGAATTATGTAGTAAGAGTCCAAATCTAATGATGCTTTTAAAACGTGGATATTAGTTGCAAGTATTAAAACTCTATATGGTGACAGTACGGGTGCTCTTAAATGTCTATAAATCTATAAACAAAACCTTAATACCTGAATGCTGTTTCTCTTAAATGGGGGCTCTGAAAGACGACATTCATTCCCCAAAAAACCTTTGCCTTTGCAGTGCATAATATAATCTACATCCACTCCTCCTTTATGCATGACATTGTCCATACTTTTCTACTTCTAATTTTAATTTTGCATAGTTTAATGAAACATGAAATGCCCCCCCCCCCCAACACACACACATGCACACACATTTCTCTTTTAAATATATAGATACCAAATGGGCAACAATGGACCATTTGACTCTTCAAGGCTGTTCTTGCACGCCTAACTTTGAGAAAATAAGAAATTTAAACTACTCTTAATATTTTTCAGAAAATAATTGATTCCCTTCTAAAACTTCTTTAATGTAAAGGAGACTACTACTACTGCTGCTGTTGGCAACATATTCAATAAGCCCATCATCCTTTTAGAAAAGTCAAACTGCCTTAACTGGAGCTTAGCCTGTTTTTTCCAAATCTTAAGTTTGTGTCATCTTGCCCTGTTTTCTTCAGAATGTAGAACAAAGAAATCAGGTGATACTAAGATGGTGAGAAGTGCCAGTTGTATCAAATGTACAAAGAAATCAGAGGTATTTATCCCATCAATCCCCAAGCAAATTGTGTAAAATTCAATAAGGTCAATTCTAATGTTTCGTTTCTTAAGAGAAAATAACTAAGTAATTTTAACCAATTCAGTTACATAACTCATCCCTGGAATACATTCTAGTAGACCTTCTCTGAACCCTTTTCACTAAATGAGTCCTTTCTTTGTTAAAGAAACCAAATCTGTTCACTACACATTGAGACTTAAAATGATTTGTATAAAGAGAAAGTTACATCTTTTGATTTGATCATTGTGTTTATATGTAGTTCCTAAAATTATATTAGCCTTCCTACTAACAACAAAGCACTTTTTTCGATGGCTTGAGTGGTTTTCTGTCTATACAGTTTTATTCAGTATATATCAATTCCAAGTTGGAAAACTTGTTCTTTGTCTTTTAGTCCAAAATTACCATTCTAAGAATAAGAAAAGTGACAAAAGAAAACGTGTAAGGATGTAAAGGACTATCTCAAATTTAGTTGATTGGTTATTTAAGTTGGTGGAAAAGTGATATCAATGGGCAAGATGGATTTATATTATTCTGTTCATTCGAATGTTTAGGTTCTTATGTTTAAAAACATTAGAAATTGTAAGATGCCTTACTGTGCTTACCAAGCTACATGAGATTCAAGCCTCAAGTGGTTGAGTCTCCATCTAGATTGTTGAATGATCGTCAGTAGTGGGCATACTTGAAGTTATTGGAGGTGTGAACAGGGATGCTGAGGTCCAAAGATCACTACAGGCCTAGCACTATTATGTTTAAGTGTCTGAACTTAAAAGACTTATCTGATATTTATTTTTGCCAGCCCATTTGTGATGATGATCCCATAAGCACTCTAAAAATTATTATTGCTTGTCTTATCTATAAGGGAACACTACTCCCTGACATGTGTTACCTTCTTTACCACCATCCTAAAATTCATTAACCAAACAATTCTGGAAGACCTATAGTATTGGCTAGTAACTGCTCCACTGGACACGTATCTTGGTTTATTGATAGCATTTTCTTTCCTGTTGTACAAAACCTATAAAGTCACATTAAAGATTCTTCTCATGACATCCAGATAATTAGAAATTTTACTTTTTTCAGCAAACTTTTCTCACCTTTTTAAAGGTGACATTGTAAGCCTGTACAATGTAATTCTTCGTCATGATGGCATACTGTTTTTTTTTTTTGAAAAACGTAACACACTTTCAACTGATACTGTACTATGGATAACAGAACTTATGAGTATTAAATGGGTCCTTCATATGCCATCTTGTTTTTTGGCTATATTGAACACCAAGTGTTAACACAGTTTCATGGCAAAATCCAGGAATTTACATTAGAGGTGGAACAGAGTTTGACATTTGTATTAATTTCTTTTCTCACTTTCATGCCTCATTGAACTTCAATTAGAAAATTTCTAGCACTTATATTTCATTTCCTGACTTGGACATAAGTATTGATGGTGAAGGACACTTCTTCAGTCCATTACAAACCTATAGACTCTCACTCTTATTTGGTCTTCTTGTCATCCTTCTTCCACCATATGTTCATTCCTTATTCACAGTTCTCACATGGTGTCTTTAATGA